CTCATGTTTTTGGCTATGTATGTGCTAACATACTAACATATGCATGACTGACTTCTATATGCTTTTGAAGAACTAACCCTTTTTCTAAATTATGGAAAAAAGATGGAGTAGTAGTGTTATTTAAGTGTTGAAGTAACCCAAGATTTTGTTTAGTATTGACTTTCTGGTAAGTGCTAATGTTGGGCTCCATGTTAGAGCATCGGGCAAGACATGTGACCCTTGTATTTGTGAGAACATATCTCTATTAGTAGTATTAACTGCATATTCTGATATCAACTACTAACTACTTGCGTGTGCATGACTAAATATGTCAATGATTGCATGATGATATATGTTATTTCGTAGGATCGTATGCTACTAACTATGAGCTAACTAGATTCATGCATGACTAAGTCTGTGAATGATTGCATGATTGTTTGTTTAGTTTGGAGAAAATGAATGAATTTTGTTAAGCATATGAATATTAATGCTTATGACTTTCCGCTGCTAAGTATAACTATAATAATTGGAAGATGGTTGTTACTGCTGATTGTATGCTTTGATAGTCCAATAGTTCTACTATTGTCACTTGGAAGAAATGCTATTTATCTTGAAAAGTTGTTTTGCCATAATTTGCCAAAGGGGGAGATTGTAGTTCATAGTGAATTAGCTATTTGGATTAGCTGCATTTACCAAAATAACAACATGGAGAAGTGTCCAAGTATTCAAGATTGATCTAGTTTGATTAAGTTGTAAAAAGGACACATGATGGGCGTGATGCTCCAACATGTGGGTATGACATTCGAGTCTTTCTCAACAGTGCCAAAATGTTTCATTTTGGATGAATCTTTTGGAAAAGATTTAGTTATATTTTATTTCTTTTATTTAGCAATATGTTTAAGTGATATGTTTGAGAACTGGATGAAGATTAATTCATATTTAAATAAAGATTTAAATTTGAATTTAAATTGAAACAAATCATATCATGTTAAAGATATTCAAGGAACAAATCAAATATCCAGCATATTCTGCATTAATTCTAGACGAAATCAAATATATTATCCAAGGAGAAAAGCCCAAATTATTATTCTATATAAGCCATACAATACATTGAAGATTTAGAGTGTTATGGTTTATTTTTTAGTCCTTGTTATTGTTGTATATACACCTTTATATTTTAATAACTTAGCATAGAAGGTTTGTCTAGAGTTGAGTGGTAGCATTCAACATTGATTATGGAGTTGTAATCCCCTATCATGGTTTGTATGGTAGAGAAGAAAGTGGGTAGGTTCTCATATTTAAGGGGAGACTCTAAATAGAAATTCATAGGGTAGTGTTTGGAAGAGGCATTGAACAACATATGTTTGTTGTTTCTTGTAAGTCTAATTATACTAAGCTACTAATTATTAATTTACTTTCTTGGGTTGTGGACTCAACCCTCCAGACGTATGTGATGTTGCATCGAACCAGGTTACCGGTTGAATGTGTTTTTATTTCTTTTCTTGCTATTGTGTGAATTCTGATTTATTTTGTCGAACATGTTGTTGAAGCATCGCGTTCGACATCTGTCCCTTGAGGAACAAAATTTCACAAGGATCTTTTTGTGGAACTTCAACAATTGTTTAAAGGTTTCACTAATTCCTTTTAACTTGTAACCCTGCAAAACCAAAAACAAGACAAAAAGAGGGCACCTCATTGAAAAATCCTATCACTATAGGGGAAAATAGTGTCACCCAATTAATTAGAGCAGACTTATAGATTTCTTAAAGAAATTACAAGCAGTAGAGACATTAGCTCACCTTATCCAATAATAAGAATAGATAACTAAAACATAGACTTGCATCATTCCTGCCTTTTAGTTTTGCTGGCGACATCGCTTGATAATTCTGTGTTTTGAAAATTAGCTTCGTCATTTTGTATTTTGATACTCAAGATATAATGTGATACATCTTGCCTATTTGCATGCAACTTGTCACATTTTAGCCATTTACCTAATAACTCGGTTTATGATTCACCAAATTTGTTTAATAAACTTGTTATGTGACCAACCTTGTTTGCCATATTAATTTGCTGAGTTTTTTCTCTCGAGTATATTGGCTTCAGGTTTTAACGTGACTTAATCCCGCACGTTTACGACTCTTTGAAATTTGCCACTATTTGCGAGAGAAACGAAAACTGCTAAGACCACACACAAAGCATGGGTATTTCGTAATTTTGTTCATGAGATAATAAAGCAACATTAAACTGAAGCATTGGTAACCAAAAATTGAGCTAGATTGAGGCTTTAGCGTTGCTGGAACAAACTTCACATGATGTAACATTTCTAAAAATGTCAGAAACATCGATGCGTGACCTATCAATACTGTTGTCGTAAATTTTGGTACCATCTTCATCGCTATCTTCGTATTTACCCGACGAGTTGAAAATTAAGGTTTGAGTTAGTTTTACCAGGCAAAAAATGGTCGCCACTGTACTTGCCAAAAAGTACACAAGTGTTATCTCTAAGTTAGTACGGATGACCAGAGGCCTTAGTAGTTTTTTGGTGGTTAGGGCTTGCCCATGGTGAGAAACCGTATTTGGTGGTGTTGGTGGCTTTGGAGAGAGGAAACTCACGTGAGGTGAGAAGCTCTGTGTTTATGTGTTATGCTTAGTAAGTTATGATCTCTCTCCCTCAACCCTAAGGATAAGGTATTTGTAGAAGTGTATGGTTCAGGGTTGAGAGAATTTATTTCCCATCCACTAGATGATCATGTAGAGGAAAAAGTCATTCCTCCTTTGACCCACTCTTCTAGTCTGTTATAGTGGGACCTGGCATCTCATATGTTTACAAGACAAGTGAGAAAGAGTCCAGGTGGACTAAGCCTAACCGGGTGGGCGCTTACTAAGACTCAATCGACTTTATGGTCCATTTCAAGCAGCTGATGGCTTTGTAGGAAAACTCGCCCCTTTCACATATGTTGACCTTCCTTACATTTACGCAAGTTGTCCCCTCTTGGAACCTAGTAAAAATATATCACCACAACAATGTTATTAGAACTCAAGAAACCTCAAACATAAGAGAAAACATGATCAAAGGTTTTATTTGTTGAGGAAAACATGTCTAATTTGACTTCTACATCTGGTAAAGCTAGTGCTACTAATTCCTCAGGAAACATAAGTGAAATTGCTATTACCAATTATCCTCAACAATATTTTTCTCAATTGCAAACTCAAACTCATGACGAAAATCAAACTAAAAAAATTTAGACGTAGCGAAACTCGAATGACTACTTTTATTTTCTTAGAAAAGTTTTGCGTTGCAAAGCAAAAAAATTCTGGAAAAGCATGTCAAATCACATCCTAGCTGACACATAGCTAGCACCATCCTATAAACTTTGTAAGGAGTTTTTACCTAACAAAAAGTCAGGACAAGCATTTTTGTGAGGTGTTTATACTCCTCGCAAAATTGAACATTGCGAGGATAATTCTTGTGTTGTGAAGAGTATTCCTTTTGGAAAATTTGGGTTTTTATAGTGGACACGTGTTGTGGTGTAATGAATAAGAGGATTACTCTTTCCACATGGGTGGGACACAAACCTTTGAAAATCTAAAAATGCCTTTACTTTGTTTGATGATGGATCTTCGGGCGCACCTAAGTCACACAAGTTCTTTGTAATTCAGCCACACGCCTTTTTTTTGTTGCCAAAACAGATTTGAAGATGCGTCTTCGAATATTATTTAGGGTGTATCTTGAAATGCATCTCCGTAACATCCCTTGAATGCTTTATAAACAACAACCTTGTCCTAAATTTGATATTTTTAGGGCAACCTAATTTAGGTCATTTTAGGCCATATATTAGAAGGAAAAACACATACATTAATTGATTGAAACGTATTACATTATTATGAAAAAAAGTCATACAATTATCAAAATGTACCGACCATACATAACTTGTTTCGAAAATACAAAAAAAATAAGACAGCCAAACATAAACTACTGGACATGTATAACCCGCAACTTCTCCTCCACTTGTACTACAAGGCATTCCGTGCCTCGACAATCTTGCCTTCTACGAGGACTAACTGAGGACTACCTTTCTAGAAAAGTCCAACATTTATGCCCGATCTTCCCATATCCACAAAATACTGACAGACCGTCAAAATGGAGTGAGTAACTTTGCAACAGATGAAGTAGATTGACGTGACATCTTTGATTTAATGAGAAACTTGAATGGTTGAGAAAGAGCACCAGTTGAGTATTTTTTAATGTTGCGTGACTTTTTAAAAGCTGAAGCAAGAAGAGGGAAGAAGTAAGACCACCAACTGGGTTTTGAATTAATGATATTTACTAATTGTATTTTCAGACTCACTTTTATAATATATAAAGATGTATCTGCGAATTAAATTCCAATAAAATATAATACTTAATTATTTTAAATGAAGTATGTAAAAAAGATGTATAAGAAGATGCTCTCCGAATACTATAAACAATTGTGAGATTTTACCGTTGTAAGGAGCACCCAAGGTTGAAAAAGCAATCTATGAATAATAACTTTATTATAGATTATGATTGTGTTAGTTGGTTTAGATTTAGACCCAAATAACCGCTACTCATTATCTTCATTGTAATACAAAAATAATATTCAATTTTAATAAATAATAACAAAAACAATATATTCTTATTAAAAAAAATGTTAGATATTAGATGGTGGGGGTTAGAACCGAAACTCCTTATTCACGAAGTAAAGGTACACAAAAATGAGAACTAATCGTTCTTATCAAATTTATAATGCACGTAGAATATAGTTAAATTACTTAACTATGAAAACTTAGAAATTCTCATCGTACATGTATAATAATAGTTTTTAGGTATGAAACGTATTTAAGGTCAACCGTGTCCTCTCACCATCGCTTCCCAAAAAAGGAAAAAAGAACAACCCGCCGAATCGAAATAAATGAATAAAAGACCGAAAAAAGATAGTAACACTTCAATTCACACATCACATATCACATTCACAATCACATGGGATAGGAATAGCAGCATGCATCATCTTGAAGCACTATTCATCTTCTTTCCATTCCTCCTTGGTTTAACTCTAACACTCAACCACCTCACCAAACTCATCACATGGATCTTCAAAACTTGTCTCCGATCCGAGAAAAACCTCCTCAAAACCTACGGTTCATGGGCTCTAGTCACCGGAGCAACCGACGGAATCGGAAAAGCCTTATCCCACCAGTTAGCACAAAGAGGTCTCAACCTCATCCTCGTAAGCAGAAACTCAAAGAAACTCGAAACAGTTAGAAACGAAATCCAAACAAAACACTCTCACGTTCAGATCAAAACTGTTACGATCGATTTTTCCGGCGAGATTTCTGCAGGCCTTGTGGAAATAGAAGCTTTGGCTAGGGTTTTGGATCTTGGAGTTGTGATCAACAATGTTGGAATCACTTACCCTAAGGCAATGTACTTTCATGAAGTGGAAGAGGAAACGTGGATGAAGATGGTTAGGGTTAACATTGAAAGCACAACGAGAATAACGAAAGCGGTTTTGGGTGGAATGATAGAAAGGAAAAAGGGTACGATCGTAAATATTGGATCTGGTGCTGCGGTGGTGGTGCCTTCACATCCTCTCTTTACAATCTATGCTGCAACTAAAGCGTAAGCTATTTTCTTTTTCTCACTAAAAGTATTTTTCTGATGTTAAAATTAATAAAATTATAGACAAAAGTGTGATAATATAAAAAGTCAATTTATTATATACTCTCGAGTTTACTGACCGGTAAATCATGTCTTTGTAGTTGAAAAAGACAATGTAGTTAGTTGCCGAGGTAATACGGCGGCGAATTTTATTACTATGACATTTGTCTTTACACCGGGGAAGGGAACATAACTTTTGTTTAAAAAGTTGGATTAAATTTAGAAATAAAAATATATTTACATTAAATAAGTTTTAATTTTTTTCAAGCGAAACTATTACTAAGAAACTTAAAAGAAAACGGTCAATATAATTTCCTTTTTAATTTAATGCACATCTTGTTTTATATAGTACTAATAGAAAAGAATTTTGTCTTGCTAAAACAAATCACTTAATCACAGCGAAAATGTCCCAGTAATTATAAAGTATAAATTTAAATATATTATGTTTCACTTTTTTTATTGAAACACTTATTTTAATATAAGAAAATAAAATATATGTTTAATTAAAATATATATAAAGTAATTATTTTAAAAAGTGTGGATAAATTCAATTCCTAATAACATCATTTTTTATATTTATGTATTACAGTTGTAATATAAATAAATTATTAATATTTATAAATTAATAAATTTTAAAAAATAACTATTTTAAAAAATGATAATAAAAGAGATTTACTCCTTCCATATTTTATTATATGTTATTTTCAAAGAAAAAAATGTAAACTACAAATGTTTTATAAAAAAAATCATTAACAATATATATTTTTATATTCTTAAGTATTTGTTATAGCCTCTTATTTCAGTTCTTTAAATTTATTTTTTTATACCATTACTAAATAAGTATTTTTATAAAATTATTTATAATTTATCTCTTTCATACAATAATAATAATAATAATAATAATAATAATAATATTTCATAATACGTTTGAAAAGTCAATTTATAATAAAAATGGAAAGAGTATATAATAAGTTGCCGGAATTGAGTATATAACAAGTTGCTGGAATTCTATAATAAGATAAAATTATTTTACAAGTAAATGCATACTCATTACACACTCTATATACACTCTCTAAATTACTACTAATAAGAAAATGTATAAAATCAAAAAAGAGATTAATATTTTTAAAAAATAATTAATATTACATTAAAAAATTTTAAAAAATATTTATTTTAAATAATTTTATTTTATAAATGGATAACCTCGTTGTTGAAAAAGAAGAAATATTTGCGGTCAAACTGGTATACAATCATAAATCAAAATCCAGACATGAGGTGAGAGGATAACTAGAGAAGTCTAGTAGGTTCAGTATTAAAATCAACTTTTACTATTGAACCTAGTATTAAATGAGGTGTGAGAATAAGTGGAGTACAAATAAAATGTCAAAGGAGGGTGAAATTGGCAGGCAGAGCAGAGCGGAGCAATTGGTCGTACGTTGATGTGATAGTGGGCAGTGGCATAGCATGTCATTTATTGTTGCAATGGCAGCAAGGAATGGACAAATTTAAACCGTGTGATTTCATCTATTAACTTTTTTTTATAAATTAATTAGATTGAATTGAAGATCAGATTGATTCGATTGTTTAATTTAAATAGTATAAATTTTTTTATCAAATTCAAATATTATTTTGAATCTGTTAAAATAGATTAACTCATAAATAATAATTAAAAAAAATATGACTGAAAAAGAAACTGTAATTTATCGGCAGGTCACTTTTCTTGGTTTAAAATAATTTATTACGGTCGAAATCGAATTTAAAAACTAATCCTTACAAAATTGAAATTGATCGAATTATAACTAATGAAATACTTTTTCTTTATAATGTAATGGAGTAGATTAGTATACAGAAAATAAGAGTGATAAAGTGTTTTATGACAAAGCTCTATAATATCCAATTATGTATAATTATTTAAGTCAATATTATATTTAAGAATGATTTGAAAACAAAAATAAATTTTAAACACATTTTATTTATTCTACGCTTTCTAGTTTCAAGAAGACTAGTTTTAGTGTTCATTTCAAGATCGGTTTTATTTATAATTCATCCTTAAAATTGTTAATTTAATTCAATGAAATATAATATTTTCAAATTAAATAAACTTTAAGTGATTAATATTGATAAAAAAATTAAATTAAATTCAAATTAATTCACATAAATAATGTCAAAATAATTAATTTGAAGCTGAGAAAAAAACTAAAAAAACACCTCATTCAATCTGAATTGAATAATCTTCTAAACTAAAATTTGAATAACTTATAAAATAGAAAATTTAAGGCAAAAATATTGTTTTAGTCCTTTAAGTTATTTTAAAATATCAAGTTAGTCCTTTAAGTTTTTTGGTAACGCTTTGGTCATTTATGTTAAGTAACATTTGTGTCGTTAATTTTTTTTAAAAATTTTCGTTATTATAAATTGTAAACTCGTATACCACTTGAACTGGTTTTTCGCGCTGATCACGAATATGTAATTAAATTTGTATTTGGTTGTGTATTTTGGTTGGATTGACTGATTTTTCATTATGTATTTGTCCACTTTTTCCCTGATTCTCATGAACCGTAACTTTTTTTAATAAATTTGATTGCATATTCGTGATCAGTGCGAAAAATCAGTTCAAATGGTATATGAGTTTGCAATTTATTGTAACGAAGATTTTTAAAAAGGTCAACGACGCAAACGTTACTTAACATAAAAGATCAAAGCATTACAAAAAAAACTTAAAAGACTAACTTGATATTTTAAAATAATTTAAAGGACCTGGACAGTATTTTTGACAAAATTTAAATGGTCAGAATTGAGCCACAATTATGGATTCGATATTTTGGTTAGATTATGTATTGACGGTCGAATCTGATTGGACCTGACTTATTATCTGACCCTACCATTTTTTATCTGGGTTAAGATTCTTCATTTCTTATTGTATAACAAAACTTCATTTCTTAAAAATGTAAATAAATAAATAAATAATGAAGAAAATATGTGTGGTATTTTCGGATCAAACTCTAGTCTAGATAGGGATAACTTCATGTTTCGACAAAAGTTTTGCATGTTGTAGTAAAAGTCTGTTTAAACATGTAGTAGTCGAAGATGTGCATGCGATAGTCGAAACTTGTTCTAGCACACAGTTTGTTATGTTAGATTGTTGGTTAAGTGAGATTGTTGGTTAAGTTAAGTTAGCTTGTAGTCTATAAATAGGTTGTTCTCTCTGGTTATTGGGAGAGGTTTAAATGTTGATTGTTGTTATTCACTTGTAACATTTTGCCCTAATTGAAAAAGTGAGTAGAAAAACAATTTTAACCAACTCTCGTTCTTCTTCTTCCCTCTTTTATCTCTTTCGTAAACCTAAAAAGAATTTATTGTATTTGTTCAAGAAACACAATCTTTCTCATGGTTTTATTTGTTTCTGGTGTGCCGTTTCTCACAATAAACTGGTGCGGTGAGCGTGGACGAGATGTCGTCAACGAAGTATGAGATTGAGAAATTCACCAGTGTGAATGATTTCGGAATGTGGCGCTTGAAGATGCAAGTCATACTGGTTCAGTAGGGTTTCTTAGAAGCCTTGAAAGGATTGAAAAAGATGGATGTTGCCATAACAAAGAAGGAGTAGACGACGATGATCGAGAAAGTGCACAATGCCATTATATTTAGCCTTTGTGATAAGATTATCTGGCAGCTGTCGAAGGAGAATATGGCAGTAGGTGTGTGGAGAAAACTCGAGGGTTATACATGATTAAATCCTTGGTAAATCGTTTGTACCTGAAGCGACCCTTATTCATTCAAGATGAGTAAGGATAAAGTCTTGACGGAGCAGTTGGATACGTTCAACAAGTTGGTTATTGATCTGAAAAATATCAAGGTTAATATCGATGATGAAGATCAAGTCTTGTTATTGATATGTTCTTTACATAAGTATCATGATCATTTCAAAGAAACTCTCTTGTATGGAAGAGATTCCATAACCTTTGAAGAAGTTCAATCAGCCTTGTACTATAAGGATTTGAACGAACGAAAGAAGCACAAATCATCATTTGTTGGTGAAGGTTTGTCCGTTAAAGGGTAACTGTTGAAGAAGGGTAAAGGTCAACAGAAGTCTTATGGTTGTGATGCTTCTAAAATTAGGTGTTATCAATGTAAGAAGGAGGGTCACACAAGAAAGTTGTGCCTTGTGAAGGTTGAGAAACACAAGAAAATGGGGTTTGAATTGAGTTTCACATTTCGTCCCCTTTTGCGGAATTAAACTAATGACGTCAACAAGTAAATAAAAATAAATGAACATAATTATTTTTATTCTGGTTCACTATTAACGAAGTTACTCCAGTCCATCCACCAAGGTGATTTTGCCTTAGATAGAGACTTAATCTAATAACCATCAAAATGATTACAACCTCTAAGTTGTTAAACAACAGGCTTAGCCCTCTGAAGCATCCTGGCTTTCACATAGCCGCTCAAGGAAATCATCAACCCACAATGGATACCCTCCATTGTCTTCTTGAGAATTCTGACTACAACGAGTCCCCCAAGGAATACAATCACCTTTTGGCAAAGGATTTCTCAAGCTACCTTCAACAAGGATTTACGCCACCTTTAGAAAAAGGATTTTACATGTGTACACTTAATGCTTCTTACAAGCTGATTAAACAAATGAAGTACAAGAACACCTAAGTGTTTCTAGTAAGTTCTTGAGCAACGACTCCTTGCTTTCTAATACAAAACTATCTAAAGAATGAATCTCTGTGAGATTATAAAACATTAGTTCTGTATTGCTTAAAAGCTTTCTTGATGAGCACTACGACTTCTTTTTATAAGCTTTAATCTTCTTTTGATGAACTCCTTTCTTGAGCAGGTAATGCTTCTTTCCAACTTAACCATCAAGATCAACTAAGTTACTATGCTTCATTTATTGATGTTTCACTTGATTAGTTATACATGGTTTTAGCATGTTGCATCGTTGTACCCACATT